GCTAAACAGTATATACTAGTTAGCATCATAAAATATGAAAAGATGAGCTAACGATAACATACCGTATAATCAAATTTCAAAAAAAAAAAAACATACCGCATAGATTTGTTTATGTCAAAGTATCTTGCTGAAAAATATTTGAATTCCAAAAAAGAAATTTTGATTTTGGAGAAAACATAATCATCAAAAACCAAGAATTAGAAATGGATGAAATTATAACGAAACCCTAGCTGCGAGAGAAAAAATGAGAGAAAAATGTGATTTGAGTTTTCTCCCTCTCCGATGTCCGGTGTTTTTACCGGCTTCGTGAGAGGGAGATGGTTGTAACCTAATATAATTTTATGTTCGATATGAAGTCTAAGGGATGTCCATGAGAGTTTTTGATTGGAAGACGATGCGATGTTATTTGCCGTCTGATTTTTTTAGGTCTAGTTTGTGATTCTCTTCATTGGGTTTAGTTTGTGATTCTCTCATTGGGTTTAGTTTTTATGGATGAAGTTTTTTTTTCCTCGTATAAGATCTATAGTTTGCTAGTATCTAGTCAATTCTGGCTATATATTTGATTTAATTTTTGCAGTTCAAAGTTGTTTAACGGCGGCTTCACTAAAGCTAACTCGGAACAAATTTGACATAGGCAATCATGGAAAGAGATTTATCTAAATTAAGAGAATTGTTATCATATTATCGTAATAGATATTGGAAATCCGGCTGCTATTGTGGATTCGAGAACACCTAATTGTCTACCTTCAGTTCGAAACAAAATCATTTTGGTATCGCTAATATGCCGTCAATGATTATTGTCCTCACTTGATTTCTTGTGTGGAAAAGACCATTAGTTTTTCTTTGTATCGCATTTGTTGAATTTCTTCGTTGATGTAATCTGTTTTTTTTTTATCAAAATAATATGTTTTAAATTAGTTTTAATAAAACAAAGTGTTAAAAAAAAAGAATTGGATGAAATTATCAAATATCTTGTGGAAAATTAAAAGAATTTTTTAGAAATGCCACTTTTCAAAAATACCACTTTTTAAAAATTTTGCATAAATGCCGTTTTTTCTAAATCATTTACTCAATATATCATTTATGTTTGGGTTAACTCTGTTGTATTAGAGTTTAGTTTTGAGGATTTAGGGCTTGTTTGGGGTCAAAAAATTTTTTAGGATTTAGAATTGTAAGATTTAGGGTTTAAAAATTCTTAATTAGTGACATTTTTTAAAATGTACAATCTATAGTGATATTTTTTAAAATAGACACACCAAAAACGGTATTTTTGCAATTATCTTCAATTTTTTTACGGGGCAAATGAGAACCTAAGTATTTTTTTCACAAAATATTTTATATTTTCCTACAATTATAATTCTTGTTTTTCTAATATGTCAAAAGTATATTTGCAAAATGGCAAATTTTGGAACCTTGGTTATTAATTTGACTATATTAATTAGTATTACATATTATATCAACATTATAATGTTTACTCTGACTGTTTTCTTTTTAAAAAAAAAATTGAATATACTAAATTTACTTAGTAATTTAAAAAAAAAAATTGACTCACAAATTTGGAAATGATTTGAATGATATGAAATTTCTTTACTTTGATGTAGTTTGCCAAAGATTACTCTATAGTAAAAATCATTAATGAGTTTGACCATAAAATAAGTAAACCATTAACGTGCTACGCGTAAATTTTCTATCGTATCAGTCAGCAAAAAAATTAAAAGACCAACGATGGTGTTACCAAAATAACCCATCTTCTCATTACCTCTAAATTGACTAAAATACCCTTCGTCTTCAACCTCTGATCTCCGTCTATCTCCTATATATAAATTAAAATAAACTCCAAACCCAATTTCAACACAGAGATCCGACGTAGTTCGAAAATCCAGATCCGAAATCCATCAATGGCGTCAGAAAACAA